TTTCAGATTGTAAGTGGGGCTGGGGGTGAGTTTGGGGGTGGGGATGCCTTGGGAGGGGTTGGGGGGCGGAGGGTGAAAGGAAGGAGGGGGGGTGGGCCTCCATTGTGGCTGTTGTTTCTGGACATGCTTCGTGAAAATGCATCCCATACAGAGAAGCAACAGGCTCCCTCGTGGGGGATACAGGTAGTCCTCGGCTTACGACCGCAACGGTTTCCTCGGCTCACCAAAATTTAAGATTTTTCCCCATCTCGGTTTGGAAGAGGCTGAGAATTGAACCGTCTCTTCTCACTTGTAGAAGACCATGCCTGAATGCGACGTCACCGGTTTTGTCGAGCAGATCAGCTGCGGGGTGTCCAAGAAGGGCGAGTTCAAGAGGTGGGTGCCCCGTTTAGGATGGGTGTCTCAACCTTGGCAAGCTTTAAGAGGATTCCCCGTGCCAGCAGTCCACATGTTTTAAATCGTGCTGGCTGGGGGATTCTGGGAGTTGAAGTCTGTATATCCCAAATCATTCTGGCTGGGGAATTCTGGGAGTTGAAGCCCCTCCCTCTTAAAGCAGGCTGGCTGGGGAATTCTGGGAATTGAAGTCCACTTGTCTTACGCCTACTGACTGGCAGTTCCCATTGCAAGTAGCTGTATTTTGCCCCGCCCCCCCAAGACGCCCCCCCCAGGGCTGTGATACAAATCTAGAAGTGAGCAAGAGCTGGGATCCCTCTATCATGGCCTCCAAGGCTTGGCAGGGACCTGCAAGGTCCTCTAGTCCTGCCCCCTGCTCTGGGTTTCCTCCCCCCTTGCGGAGCTGCTGTCATCTCAGCAATTTTCTCCCCGCAGTTGCCGCTCTTTGGAAATGGAGACGCGGATCTTCTGGAACTTTGAGGGTGCCATGCTGGGGACTGCTGCCATCTTCGCCCTGCTGGTGGTTTGCCGCCAGCGGGTGCTGGATGGGAAAGCCTTGGAGAAAGTCCGGAAACAGATCGAATCTATTTAGCTTCGTTTGGGGCAGCGAAGCGGAGGTGGACGGACCCAGACTCGCCGCCCGGAGGAGCAGTCTAGCATCGCCTCCGCTCGTTGAAAATTCCCCTCCCACTTTCAACTAGAGGGGAGGGGGTGGGCTGTACCCCCAGGGACAAGTACTTCACTCTTCAGGGGGCTGGCAAAAGCCGGGGTGCTTCCCCTGCTTTGAGAAAACCCACGGCATTTGGGGGGCACTCCTCCCAGATCCTTCGTCTCTTGGCGTTTTGAATCATGAAATTCGAACTCGCTTCCCGGCCGGGAACTTCCTCTCGTCGCTGTCCTTTGAGCCTCGTGGCTAGAAGCGCGTCATGCAAATGGAACGCAAAACTCTTTCAATCCCTTCCCTGTCCCGAATCCCGTTTTCTCCTATTTGTGATTAAAGGAGTTCTCCTCAAGTGTCTAACCACAGGAGTTGCGGTTGTAAAGTTGCGGATTGTGGGTTTTTGGGTGTGTGGGGAAGCTTCTGGAGCTGGTCCGCGAAAGGGATTTGTTGTGGGTTGAGAACTGAGCAATGTAGTATTTAAAGCAACACGAAAGCAATATTTCTCAGTGGAAGGTAGGTGGACTTCAACTCCCACAATCCCCCAGCCAACACAGCACAGAATTCTGGGAGTTGAAGTCTGTTTGTTTTTAAAGTTGCCAAGGTTGAGAAACACTGGTTTAAAAGCTCCCCGATTTTGGAATAAAGGAATAAATTGAATTGCAGGAAAAGTGGTGTGTGTGTGTGTGAGAGAGAGAGAGGGAGGGAGGGAGGGAGGGAGGGAGAGGGAGAGAATCAAGCAGCTCCTTCCGAACCAATTATAAACGCAATCACTGCTAACTGTGGTTAGTTTTATCCTGGCTTTTATCTTTTGCAAACTGGTGCAAACTGGTTGTGTTGACAGGTTGACGGCTTGGGATCAACTCAGAAAATGTGTTTATTCTAGAACTCAGATAAGTGTGTGTGTGTGGTGTGTGTGTGTCTATTCTAGAACTCAGATAAGTGTGTGTGTGTGGTGTGTGTGTGTCCAGATTATAATTTCCCCTTATTTCAAACCATGTTGGGTTGTTCGGAGCTGAGCAGGCCTGGATTCAAACGACAGGCCAAGTTAGAATACCTTTGGTTTATGGGCAGCTTTGATATGTTTAGGGGAGCCTCGGCACCCCGAGTGGGAAGACCTGGTGGGCCGCACCTGCGTTTTATTCAGAATTAAAAGCGTCCAGATTGAGAATCGTCCCAGCCCAGCCCAGATAGAAGCAAACTCAAAAATCCAATTCCCCCCCCCTTGTTTCGGAAAAGTCTCCCCTCGAACAGAAGGAAATACACTCTAGACGTGCTCAGGAATTCTCCTTTATTCCTCCCAAAGCCCGGCTCCAGGATTCCAGCAAAGGGGGGGGCTCAGGTCAAGCTCTCCTCACCCCCCCACCCACCCCCCACCCAAAGCCCCAGAGCTGACAGATTGCAGAGAAGCAGAAAAGGAAGTTGCAGGTTGCGTAAGGCGCATCTATCTCACAAGCATTTGAGAAGGAAAGCGTTGCAGCTGGCTCTCCGGGGACAGTCGCAGAGTTTGCCGATGCGGGCGCCTTTCCGGATGGCGCAGGCGTCGCCGAAGGAGCACTGGAAGGGAGGGGGAGAGAATGAATCCCTGTCCTTCACACCCCCCCTTCCCCAGTCTGTGCTCCCCCCCTCCTTTCTTGAACTGGAGAGCCCTTTTGCTCTTCACATGACCGGGGAACTCCATTCTCTTCCTTAGGCTCAAGCCAGAGCCGGTTGGGACAGTGGCTAAAACCCAGAGCCCAGCGGGGTCAGACTAGATGACCTCTGGCGTTAGCCTCGGAAACTTAAGATTCGTGCTCAGACCGACCTCTTGGGATTGTTGCGGGGATAACCTTCGGCTCTTCCACAGAAAGGGGGGGTGAAAGTCACGTGGATGCCCCCCTTAATTTATGGGGGGTCCCCCCTTCCCCAAATACCTTGGGCACTTGATTGAATTTCTTTTCCCAAGCCGAGACCTTCTTATGCTGCAGTTTTTCCAGCACTTCCTGCAGTTCATCCAGCTGGAAGAAGTCGAAAATGTTGCAAACAGTTTTTAAGACCTGCCCGTTTTCCACACTGCATAACATGCTCAACCGGGGTTAATGGGCTGGGGGATGCTCCAGGGGTCTTATTTTCCAAGTCTTAGGTGGGCTTCGCCTAAAAGGCGCCCAAAATCTCTCCGGTCATTTGATTCAGAGTCTCTGAAGTTTATTCCTGCTCAACTAACTAAGAAGGGAACAAAATATTTTCCGGTTTAAAACAATATATATATCTCCCTCCGTGATGGGATTTATCCTCATTGCTAAAACGGATTGGAATAATCGGGGAGGGGGGGAATACTGGATTACCGCACCCATCATCCCCTCGCTGCTATCCAGAGGGCAGAAGGCTTGACATCCCTCTGGACGAGATGTGCAGCCCTGCTCTTCAACGCATGCTGGCTTAATGACAGTCTGTCCCCCCCATCTTATTTTCGTGGACTTTGGCCGCCGTTCCATTTTACGCATGTGGGGATGGGGCGCCACCAACAAGGAACCAGGTTCCTTGGTCTGTTTTATTTTTTTGGTTCTTCAGAGCAATACATGCCATGTCATTCTTTTTTTGGGGGGGGTGTTTCTCCCCTGCTAGCCCCCTTTCCCGCAATCGTCCCGCTACCAATCCTCGGTTACTCACCAGCTCCTTCTCGTGCGCCGGGTACGTGTGTTTGAGTGGCAATTCCGATGTCGTTTGGCCAGCCGGCCCTCCCTGGACCAGGACGAAGAGGCAGAGAAGAGCCGCGATGCCCAAACGGACCCCAACCATGGTTAGCATCTTCCTGGGCAAAGATCCCACCGAAGAGCAACGTCTCAGCACCACCTGGAGCTGTCCACAGTGCTGAAAGCCCAACCACCTTCGCCAGCTTCACGCCAGGAAGTGCAACTGCACCCGTTTCTCTGCCAGCCCACGCCAGCCTCCCTGGGGATGGAGGGAGAGGGGGGGGCTGTCTTCAAGGGCGGAAGACGAAGCACCCCTAAACCTAGTTTCCTGGGGAATCGGCTGCTGGCGGGGGTGGGAAGGAGCCAAGGATCAGCCAAGGATACTTGGCCAGCCGCACCCGGATTTTGAGGCTGGCTTGCAAGGGGGGGTGTGTTGCTCCAGGCAGGGGCTGCCAATCAAGACCTTCTCCGGAGGACTTTAATGCATTTGCTGGGAAATTAAAACAGTTGACTTTGATTCATCTGTCTCTCTGGACGGGGCCCAGCGAGCGGCATCCAGCCAGGCCGGGAGTTGACAGCTCATCCAATAAAAGCTTCGGTCTTGATGGGCAGATCTAATATCCAAACTATTTTTTTCTTTTTGGATATTATTAGCATTAATCAAAAGCTGCGGCACTAATTGGCCGCAACGGAGCCTGGCGTGCGTCCTTGCCTCGTGGGGTGTTTCCCCCCCCTTTTCTAGTTCTCCGCTTTTTCCCTTTCATCTCTCGCCAAAGAAATGGCATCCCGGGGGGGGGGGAGTTTAGGGGTGGGTGGGAAATGCCAATCCCTGAGCGGGCAGGAGAGGCGTCTGTTAAGAAGAGCTTGACGAATGGATAAAACGCCAAGCGGAGGGAAAGGAGGGCAGCGGGTGTTTGGAGCAGGTAGACTGCTCCTGGATAGGGAGGCTCAATCTAGCCACCAGCCACTGGGATGCATTCACGGTGTTGCTAGTCTGCTAGTCGGATAAAGATTTGAGATTGGTTTGATTCTTCGCGACAACCGGCGGGTGGGTGGGTGGGTGGGATTCAGCCGGGATATTGTGATTTTCCAAGCCACAGTTCCCCGATAAAGCAAAGTCAGTGGGAGGGGGGAACTGGATTCGCTTAACGTCCACCTGATTTCATTTAACGACGGCAGCAATTTGATGCAAATTTGATGTGATGGAAAAGGCTGTTTTCAGGAGCTGAAGGGCCGGGGTCTTCAAACCTGGCCCTTGGATGACTTGTGGACTTCAACTCCCAGAATCCCTCAGCCAGGCACGCGTTTGAAGACCCCTGGCTTAGCTTATTGGAGAAAGCAAGTTGGCGTTGGAAGCTGGCTTGATTTACGATTTGCGCCCTTGTTCCTCTGCGCTTCCTGAACTGCGCCTGACTGATGGGGACGTGTTTTTTTCGCCCTTGGCAGGAGCTGCACCTGTTGAACGTCTTTTTATCTCGCTCAGCAAACCCAACAACCGAATTAAAAAAAAAAACACCAGCCGTCTAGCTCAGAGCAGGAAAAATACACCGTATTTATAATTCTAGACGTTGGTTGCAAAGCCGTGAAGGCGCAAACAGGCCTGGGGAACGGCGGCTGTTCTGCCTGACAAAACGGCTCCCTCTTCCTGGAATTAATTTTTCTAAAAGCTTTGGGGCCGAAATTTTTCTTTTTAAATGAGATTAATGCAAGCAATTTTGAAAGGTGGGCTGCCGCGGTGGTGTCCCATCTTCCATAAAAAAAGTTTAATTTTAATTTAAAATTCCCCCCCACACACACACACTTTGGCTTTGCTCTAATTCCTTGCCGTGTCGGCATCTCCCTAGCCGTGTGCATTCAGTGTGATATATCACCTATAATTCCAAGTGTGCTAAAAAAGATTAATTTGAAGAAGGATGCAGACGGTGAAGGAAGTGGGCAGAAATTTCAGCCCTTTGTCTCAAATTCTCCTGGTTCAACAAACCCACCCCGGTTTTTTTTGGGGGGGTGTTTGCCCTCGTGGTCCCAAAGGCAACAGCTTTTAAATTGAATTTTGGGGGATGAAAGTTCCTTGGCATGAAATCTCCCGGCAGGAGATCAGTTAGAAGAGCCTCTTGCGATCTGCAGCTCTTGGATAATGAGGTTTCTTGGGGAAAAAATGGCATTTTTCAAGTAGGCGGATTAAGCCCTTGGGCGACCGCTGGGTTTATGTTAATTCAACTCCTTTGTTTCCAAGCAGGATAATTTGTTTCCTGTTGGGGGGGGAGAGAATCTGGGGCGAGAACATAGGAGCCAGGGAAGAATGAATGAAACTCATTAAAGTAGGGAAAAAAACAAAAGCCCGTCCATTATTTTAAGCTCCAACCTTTGGGGAAGACTTTGAATCCCGCAATCCTCCTGCGGACTACACGTCCTAGCATCCTTCCCCCTGACATTGCTGGGAATTATTGTCCGGCATGTTTTAACCCCTGAACTGTACCCCTTGAACCCCAAGCCCAAAATCTGAGACGGTTTCAAGAACGGATAAATATTTGCAGGGTGGGAATTGTGGCAACGTCAACAAATCTTGTTAAAGAAAAATCCGAGAATCTGGCTTGGAAAGGAATCGTTTTGGGTTCGAGATAGCCGCCAAGGGTCTGTCCCTCAGATGGGTTGCTGCTTGTTGACAAGGAGGGGGGGGAAAGGCCCTTTGCACATGCT